AGCGTGCAGGAGGCAGCCACTGATGAATTTCTCCCATCGATGTTTCCCTCTATTCCCTGCCCCTTCCTCAATTTCTAAAAAAAAAAAAAAATAAAAAAGAAGAAGAAAAGGAAAAAAAGTCACGAAAAACACATTTTTTAAAAATTAGCCTAAATGAGTGTAAAACAGACTGAAATCAGTAAAGTAAACCCCACCACCTGCCTGTGTGCCCGAAGCCAATTCCAGCATCACAGCTGGCCTGAAGCTGGAGTGGCTGAAGGGCATTGCCCCAAACCTGAAAAGGATGCATTAAACTGATTGTTTGCTGCCAGACAGCTCAGGGCATCTTAACCTACATATTACTGCCTCCTACTGGCTAAACACCTGAACAGCCACAGGCTAATTCTTCCCATCTGACAATGGATTGTGTATGTGAACCCGACCCTTTGAAGTGTTTATCTCCACTTGGCCTCAGACAATTTGTGTTAATAAATAGCATGGGGTCCTGAGAGGAGATCATAGTTTCTTTAGCTAGGCTCCTCTCACCCCCAAATGCCTTTCAAAATTATGCTTCGCCTCTGGATTAAGTTACACACAGCCCTTCTCCAGATTGCTGAACCCTTCCTAACGCTGAAACAAGAACCCCGGCAGCCAAGCAAGTCGTTTTTCTACTAACTGGCTGCTGCTAACATGATTCCTTGACCTCACCGCTTCTGCTGCTCGCCTCAGTTCTGCGGGGCGCTGTGGAGGTCCATGATGGCCACACCCGTTCCGATGATGCCTCCTGCCACAGCAGCTGGTATGCCCATTGCTGTGCCTGCTGCCATGCCAGCTGGTATGCTGACTGCCCTCACGGTGGCAAAGAGCGCTTCAGTGACCTGCAGCACAGGAGATGGGCGTCGCACTACACGTCAGGGGCCTGGCCACAGACACACCCACCAAGAATATTCACTCAGGAGAGACCTGAGCCCCTCCAACGGAACCACAGAAGGAGCGGGTGTTTGCAGGGCAACAGGCCACCAGGAG